CGAATTGAGGGCTACAAAAAAGGTCATGACAAAACTTTTGCTATCTCTCTTAGATTCCAAGATATTCATTGAAAACTGACGAGTCGAAATCATATTGAACCGTTTTATGGCTTCGCTACTGAATGGACTTCCAGAATCCTATGTATTCTAGTGCACACTGATTTTATCCTTGAATCAATAGTGAATCATCAGTTTAAAGACACATTCTTCGATTCGATAAGCATGTATTTGAATGAAAGATAAAAAAATTAATGCGTAGTTATGTGGAATAGCTATTAGCTATTATAGGAAAAAATTATAATACAATGATATCAGGAAATTTTTTTTATCAGTGTCCATCATTGGAAATCGAAATTGATTCAACTCAATAATGCTAAGTATTGTGAAATAACAATTAAACCACCAAACCCTAGAACCTCAATAATTTTGTTATCTCCCTTACACTGAGAGAAAAAATTGCTTTTAAAAAATTCCTAACAAAGTTCTGATGACAAAAATTCTAGATATACTGCAACGCTTAAAAGAGAGAACGCTTAAAAATTCTCTCGGGACAAGAGAATCTCATCCTGTCGGAAAACTCCTTTCTCTCAGTCTAAAAATTATTTATCGGGAGATTTTACGATTTTTAAAATGCAATAAGAGAATATTTTCTTGTAGGGTGAACAGGCCAATTGCTGGACGGTTAAGGGAAATTCGAGTTTCGTGGTAGGATCTAAAATAAAAGAATCACCTAAATGAGGATATGATGGCTTCCATACCTTGAAGAATGTTTTAATTAGCAGAAAAAAAATATTTCAAGTGAAAATAACAAAACAAAGAATAATTTAATCCAGAAATAGTTGAATGCAGCCGAAACCCCTAATTTCTGGACGGCTGGGCCATATTTTTTTATTCATAAAATGTTAATCAATAGAAAAAACAATTGATCACATGCTTATAAACGAATAATATTATTGAATGGTGAAGTAATCAGTATAATGCAGTAGCGAAACGATAGACGGAGTTGAGTCGATTTTGACTTTTGGCCAGTTATTGATTAATATCTCGAAATCGAAGAGAGATAGCAAAATTTTTCGCATAACCTTTTTTATAACCCTCAATTGGCTCTACAAAAAAGGTCATGACAAAAAATTTTCCATCTCTTTTAGATTCCGAGATATTCGTCAATAACTGGCCAAAAGTCAAAATCGACTTAATCCGGTTTGCCGCATCGCTACTGAATTTTCATTTGATTTATGGGATATTCTCTGCAAGTTGAGATGGTCTAGAAACTAACCCCTGTCCAGAAATTGGCCTGTTTACCCTATCAAGTGAACCTTCTTTGTCAAAAATAGTTTTTTCTCTCAGGATAGATGTTTCAATCTTCATTAAAAAATGGCCGATCTTAAAAACCGACTAGAACCGTTTTACCGCTTCGCTACTGAACTTCACCTGACGCGTCAATTTTTCGACAGCCGCATCCAAATTCAGTTTCCTCATTAAAAAACTCGATAATTCCTCATCAATTAACAAATCACCGAGACCCATCAGCAATCTCCAATCCCCCTCCATCACCCAATTAATCTCCTCTCACCGCAATTAACCCTAATCCCCAAAAATTAATTATCCCCAATTCACCCATCGAAATGCCTCCCATTCCCAATTCATCCTTCCACTAGAAAATTCCCCCCCAAAACCCCTAATGATTTAATGGCAATAATGAAACGTCTAAAAGTTTTGTCTCGAAAGATGAAAGAAGACGAGATGGGAGCGGAATTATATCCAACTTCTCGGTCCGTATCCGCAATGGAATGCGGTCCGTGTCTTGGAATCCGCGGGACGCAAGTTGAGGGAGAGAAGAAGGAGCGAAAACGCGCCAGCCAGCGCGGAGAGCAGAAAGGATACGAGCAGGGCACCGCAATGTGTATGTGTGCCTCTGTATACACTCGGTTGGGCCGGGGGGAGGGGGTGGGTGGGTATCTTCATCCTCCTTCTCCACCTCGTCTCATCGGTTACAGAAAACTCCTTGGCTTCTCTCTTCTCTTCTCGGTCCCCCAGCAGCCGCGTCTTATATCGGTTTTACGAAGGTAGGCATTGGTTGTGTGGTGTAGCCGATTGGGCCACGGTGGAACGCGCGCTCTCGCGTTATACGGTCAACAAGTAACCAACGTCATCGTCAAAAATAATCGGGGCCAGTTTTTGATATTTTTCAATGATTTTCAGGAGATCATTGGTGGGTGATGCACTATTAAAAAATTCTGTCTGAAATTTTCGGGATGCTTTTTGGAAATTTTTATCGAATTTAATTACACTGTTGAGATTTTTCGACTGAATTTTCTGTCCCAAATTGCGGAAATTTTTAGCATGTTCAAGTTCCACGGAAAGTTGAGGAAATCTTGTCATGGAAAATTCAGAATTTCGTGGAAAATTGAAGGGAACTGTAAATTTTAGTTCCTCTTTTCCCGGAAAATGAATAGAAAACCAGAAAATTGTGGAAAATATTTTCTTGAATTTTCAGGACAGTGACACCGAATGCGATTTATGGGCGAAAAATCATGAAATTTCAGATTGTACTGAAAATTCAATGTACTTTCACACTGAATATTCATATTAGATTGGAAATTGAAATAAATTGAAAAATTCTCGTCTTTATGCCGCTTAAAATTCTGGAATTTTACTGAATTTTCAGAGAAACTTGATCTTTCACGATTTTTTTCCCCTAAATCGCATTCAGTGTCACTGCCCTAAAAATTGAGAGTCAACTGACCATGAAATTTCCTTTTTTTCTGACAGCGTACCACTGATAATTCAGAATTTCGTGGAAAAATCAAAGGGAACTGTCAATTTCAGTTCCATTTTTCCCTGAAAATGAATGGAAAACCAGAAAATTGCTGTAAATATATTCTTGAATTTTCAGGACAGTGACACTGAATGCGATTTAGGGAGACAAAAACATGAAATTTCAGATTTCACTGAAAATTCAACGGAAGTCAAATAAATTAAGGAATTCTCGTCGTTATGCTGCTTAAAATTCTGAAATTTTACTGAATTTTCAGTGAAACCTGAAATTTCATAATTTTTTCCCCTAAATTGCATTCAGTGTCACTGTCCTGAAAATTAGCAGTCAACTGTCCATGAAATTTCATTGTTTCCCCAACAGTGTACCACTGAAATTTCAAGGAATTTCGTCATTGAAAATTCAGAATTTTGTGGAGAAAACAAAGAGAACTGTAAATTTCAGTTCCATTTTTCCCTGAAAATGAATGGAAAACCAGAAAATTGCTGTAAAAATATTCTTGAATTTTCAGGACAGTGACACTGAATGCGATTTAACGGGAAAAAATCATGAAATTTTAGATTTCACTGAAAATTCAATGGAATTCAAATAAAATTAAGGAATTCTCGTCTTTATGGTGCTTAAAATTCTGGAATTTTGCTGAATTTTCAGTAAAACCTGAAATTTCATTATTTTTCCCCCTAAATCGCATTCAGTGTCACTGTCCTGAAAATTAGTAGTTAACTGTCCATAAAATTTAATTTTTTACTAACAGTGCGGTGAAATTTTTTTTCGCCATGATTGGGGATTTTGAAGATTGAAGCAGGTGCATGAAGGAGATTCTGATGATTATCTGAATGTTTATGGGAATGGGATTGAGATGTTTGGAGAGGAAATCGTGGGGGCATGGGTGCTTAATGATTTGCGGGTTTTAATTCGGTGGCGAAGCGGTGAAACGGTCCAAATCGACTTTGACTATTCGTCAGTTTTCAATAAATATCTCAGAATCTAAGGCAGATAGCAAAATTTCTGTTACAACCTTTTTTGTAGGGCAAATTGAGAGCTGAAAAAAAGGTCATTACAAAAATTTCGGTATCTCCCCTAGATTCGGAGATATTTCCCAAAAACTCATTTAAGGGGAATCGGAACCCCTGCGTCTATATGAACTTTTACAATTGTGTTTTTTTCTGCAATTTTTAGTTTTTATTTATGAAACTACTTCATTGACTCTACAATGATGCAGGGGTCGAGTCGATGAAGTAGTTTCATAAATAGAAATTAATAATTTTAGGAGAAAACACAATTCTAAGTTCATGTAGACACAAAGGTTCCGTTTCCTCTTAAAAACAACCTCGACTTGAACCGTTTTACCGCTTCGCTACTGAATTGAAATTTCGGGGTGAGAAAGAGTAAGAAGAGTGGCCCAATCTGCGATAATTTATATCTCAACATTAGTAGAGAGAATTTAACGAATTCCTAGATTGAATTTCAGTAGCGAAATGATAAACCGGTTTAAGTCGACTTAGCTCTTCGCTGAATTTTCGACAAATATCTTTTTTTTTCATTTTTATTTTATTTAAGCGCAAAACCTACAGATTTATACAGCTGTCAATAGAAAAAAAGAAAGTATATATATAATATAATTTACATCTTATTGTAGTATCAAAGTTGTGACATTTCTTCCTTAAATTGAACATTTTTTTTTTGTTTTTCTTCGGAAATATCTCCGAATCTACGAGAAATAGCGAAATTTTCATCATAACCCTTTTTGTAGCTCTCAATGCGCCCTGCAAAAAAGGTTATTACAAAAAAATTGCAATCTCCCTTAGATTCCGAGATATTCATTAAAAACTGAATAGTCTAAATCGATTCCAACCGGTTTACAGCATCGCTACTGATTTAGGAGATATTAAAAATTGAAAGATCTATTTTGCATTATGGTGAGTTGAAAACGAGACGAGGAATGCTCCCAAGCTTTCCATCGATCGTAATATACATTATTGTTGAATATATTGTTGTTGTTTTTGAGAAGCGGCGATGATTCTCGTGTAATACGATATAAATTAAGATAATTAGGGCAAATTCTATTCATCTCGACCCACAGATTCTCCTCTTCCCCCCAAAAGAACAGAAGTTTCCCCGAGTCTATAAAATGTATCGAAACACAAACGAAAACGAACATGAAACAATCTCCACCGAGAATGCACAATTTCGAAATTTCACAAAATAATAAAAAAAAACTCACCTCTAGCTATCCCTGAGTCTGCAATCCGTGCAATCACGGCATCTCAGCGTGTCCATACACCGATAGTTACCGTATATTCTGTACACTTGTAAACCAACACTCACCACCATTCACAATCCAGATGTAACCAGGTGTTGACAATTGTCACAATTTCCGTGCGAATTCTCACTGCTAATTCAAACGAACTCTGAATCGCTTTTTCAGCGCTTCAAACAGCCACAAAAACACCAAAAATTTAAACGACAAAATCACATATATTAAAAAACCCGAGTTCACAGTTAAATCCACGGTATCCAAATCAATTCGTTGGGCAATTGATCCTGCTCTTGATCAAGTGATTTCCACGGTTGAATGATATCCAGTCCAGTGAAATTAAAAATCTTGAGGGGAAAAAAAATTTATCTTAAATGAGGAAAAATCCGTCCGACGCGTTCAAGAGGCTTAGTGTGACTACCAGTGACTACTGTGGCACAGTGAGCCGTCGCACCGATTCATACATATACAACTGTATACTACAAACGTTTGGGGCCAGTCCCTTTTTGCCCCCACCATAGTCACCTCCACCTGTCTTGTTGGAATATTGCCTACGTCTCTGCCTCCCTCCCCCCTCCCGGCCGCTTGCCGCATCTCTCTCGTTTTCGTCCGTCTCTCTCAGTCTAGCTTCAACTAATATTATCCCCACCAGGAGGATCTTTCTCTTCGTTTTCTTTCCACCACTACTTAGCGCCAATGTACGTTATGTTAGTGGGGTATTCTACGTCTTCTGGGCTCGCTTTCTTTTTCTTTAAAATTTGTTGTCCCCCCACTCCCCCCACTTCTGTTGGAGAACAGAACAGGACAGAGGGAACTGAGGAGAGTGACTTATGCGCTCTGATATCGTGAGATACGATTGTTCGGGGGAATTTTTTTTTTTAATTTGAGTTTTGTTTGGAGGTGGATTTCGGTGGGGAGTTGGGAGGAAGGAGTTGCTGGAGTCGGGATTATTCTTGAGGGGATTGAGAGAGTGGGGGAGGGGTCGCATGAGGATGGGTATGAATGAAGTGGAAGTCTCTTTGGAGTTGGTTTAACTATCACGGGGGTCCACTTCAGTCATTCATAATGGAAAGTGTAATGTTAATGCCGAGGAGGTTTTATGATGGGGGAATTTTTGGCTGATGGGTCTATCGGGGTGACGGGGGATCGAGGCGCTTGATGGATTGATTGAAGTGGGTGAAGTGGGTTTTTTGGGAAATTATTGGTGATGGGAGGCGTTTTGTAGATTGATGGAGTTAAGGGAGTTTGAGAAGTTGGTCTGATTGAATGTTGAGTGTTATACATTTTGCTTCTGAATGGAGGCGTTGTAATCGTTCAAATTTAAGTTTTGGATTTTTCGAGTTATATCGACACGTTATGAACCAAAATTTTTTTTGGGGTTTGAGTTTTGTTTGGGGGTGGGGTTCGGTGGGAAATTGGGAGAAAGGAGTTGCTGGAGTCCAGATTATTCTTCAGGCGATTGAGAGAGTGATGGGGGGAGGGGTCGCATGTAGATGGGTATGAATGAAGTGGAAGTCTCTTTGGAGTTGGTTTAACTATCATGGGGGTCCACTTCAGTCATTCCTGATGAAAAGTGTAATGTTAATGCGCGAGGAGATTTTATGGTGGGGGAATTTTTGGTTGATGGGTCTATCGGGGTGATGGGGGATCGAGGCGCTTGATGGATTGATTGAAGTGGGTGAAATGGGTTTTTTTGGGAAATTATTGATGATGGGAGGCGTTTTGTAGATTGGAGTTAAGGGAATTTGAGGAGAAGTTGGTCTGATTGAATGTTGGAAGTGTTATTCATTTTGCTTCCGAATGGAGGCGTTGTAATCGTAGAAATTTAAGTTTTGGATTTTTTGGGTTATATTGACCCATTGGGATCCAAAAAGTCCGAAAATATAATTTTTAGACCTTGTCCGTACGTATGTTGTAAAGTTTTTTTTCAATTATTCGCTAATGAATGGAAGGAATTGAATCTTTTTTTCTTCAAATGTAGGTATTGTTGAGCCCTATCGATCGCCATTAATTAAATTGAATTTGACGATTAATTTTCTTAATTTTTGAATTTTTTTTTAAATCAGTAGTCCCACACTGATAAAATGATTCATCAGGGCTGAGGGGAGAGATAGAACTAGTAGAATCGCTTGTTTTTCTAAGGAAATACACAGATTACCTCTTTGTTTTATTCTATTTTAATAGAGAACTTTTATCATTGATGCTCAATTTTCGTTAGAATTTACTTGCAGAATTATATTTTTTCGAGTGCAGGCTAATTTCATCTTTGAATCAATAGTTCTGAATCATCGGTTTAAGTGTTAATATTTATGGAGGTTGATGAGTCTATCATTTTGAGGGGGGATCGAGGTTCTTGATGAATTGATTGAATTTGGATGAAGTGGAATTTTTTTGAAAATTATTGATGATGTAGGCGTTTCTTAGAATGATCTAGTAAAATGAAGTTTGACGAGAAGTTAATTTCTTTAATTGGATGTTAGAAGTATTATTTATTTTTGTTTTGATCATCCTCTGAGGCATGTCATATTCATTATTCAAAAATGAAGGGGTGAAATATTGAATGAAGTTCCAACTGTGGATAATTTTTATGATATGAAATTATTTTGATAATGGATGACTTGAAAGAAAAATGTAAAGCCGACATTTCTTTCTAGCATCGCTTGTTTTTTCAGGAAATCCACAATTCCCAATAGTATCAAATTTACTTCTTTTTTTTATTCTACTTCAATGGAGAACTTTCCTATGACTGATGCTTAACTCTCTTTAGAATTCAGTAGCGAAGCGGTACAACGGTTTAAGGGTTAACAGAAAGCTACCGTTTCCTCGAATTTTTCAAACAAATTTTCTGCTCAAAGTTATTAAGATTTTTCGAACTCAATGCACATTGATCTTCATCATCGTCTCCTAAAGATCAATATGCTTCGATTTTCGAAAATATAGATAACTTTCGGCAGGAAATTTGTTCAAAAATTTGTAAAAGTAGTCGCATTCTGTTACCCCTGAAGTCGAGTTAGTTCTCAGCTGAGTTTTCGAGCAATATCTCCGCATCTAAGGCATATAGTGAAATTTTTGTAATGACCTTTTTCATAACTCTCAATTTACTCTACAAAAAAGGTAATACCAAAAATTTTGCTATCCGCCTTAGATTCCGAGATATTCATTGAAATCTGACGAATAGTCAAAGTCAACTAGACTGTTTTACGTTTCGCTACTGAATTCATTTCCAGAATTTTTATTTTTCCGAGTGCACGCTGATTGCATCTCTAAATCAATACATCTAAATCATCGGCTTGCAGTCAAACTCTTCGGTTCACTAAACACGACTTTGAATGAAAGATAAAAAAAATGCGTATTGATTTTCAAAAATAGATAACTTGCAAAAAATTACAGTAAAAAAGATCATGAATTTTTAAAAATCGATTTCCGTTGGAAATCGAAATTGATTAAGCTCAATAATGCCTCATCCCCGCCTCCACAAATAACAATTAAACCCCCAAACCCCAGAGCCTCAGTAATTCACTTAGAAATGGCGAAGTAAATGAGGATGAAATGGATGAGGTCCATTGGCCGATTGATGAGGCGTTTGAATTCGCTTCGGTCCACGTACAAGCGCGCCATGCTGTCTGCCCAATCCCCCCACCTATCCCTTTTGTAAATACGCTGAGAGAGAAAAAAAGCACCGCAGAAGGGGGCAATAAAGGAGGGCTGCTTCTCTCATTCCCCCTCCCCCTACACCCCTCCCCCGGCCCGCAACCATCATCAGAATTGGTAATTCAACAATTTTGCGCCATTTCCGCTTGACGACTCAATCGTCAACTTGAGATTTCTGGGAAATGCCCACGCGTGACCTCACTCTGTCTGCGAAATACTTGAAACTTAGTGTCACTGCTAGTATTTTAATCCCCCTTCTTCCTCACCGAGGGATTTAACAAAATGAGTAGCCTCGGTAGCTGCGAGGGATCGTGGATTGATTGAAGTGGTGTACGGAGACAGTACCAGTACTTAGACGATTATCGTATGCTCAATTTTTAACGGGACAAGGTACCAATTATCAATTAGGGCAAATGCTAATTTTTATTCGTGTTTGAAAGGGGAGGAGGGGGGGAATGAGTATCTCACGGCAACTGACTGAGCAACGTCCGTTTTCAATTTAACGCTATCATGACGAAGTTCAATCTGAAGTTTGTGATGAGTTCTTGGGATTTGTGGGGTGGAGGAAATTCTTGATGACGATGCATCCTTCCGGCTGGTTTATTTTTCTGAGGAGACCGGCGGGGTTGGTTGCTTCGAAAATTGAAATTGGAGGGTATCTGTGGTTTTCTCCCGGGTCGAAAAATTTGGTCGGTTTTTCGCCTCATTTGTCCAGGAATGAAGACCTGAAGGCCATGTTTTTGAGGTTGAAGACCTGCCACATGGAAAAATTTATATTTTGAAAAATATATTAAAAAATCTCTTAAATTGGCCCAATTTATATAAAAAATATATATAAAATATACGTTTTATAGATTTTTTTATATACTTTTTATAAATTTGAAAAATATATGGAATTGGTCCATATTATATCAGCAGTGAAGTGGTAAAACGGTACAAGTCAATTTTGACTATTGACCCGTTTTCAATTAATATCTCGAAATCTAAAGAAGATAGCAAAATTTTTGTTATTACTTTTTTTGTAGAGCCGATTAAGAGCTATAACAAATATATTTACGAAAATTTCGCTATCTCCCTTAGATTCCGAAATATTCGTCAAAAACTCAACTGGGGGCCAAGTCGACTTAAACCGTTTTACCACTTCGCTACTGATATAGTATACTTTTTATATATTTTTTGATGAAAGTAACAATTGGATAGGGCGACATTAATTTATTTCAAACGAGATTCGTTAACTATTAACGAATGGTAGAATTGAACATGAGCAAATAAATATTCGTTAATAGTTAACGAATGGTTCACTTGAAAACCGAAAGTCAAATAAAACAAGGCTCCTCAAATCTGCATTTGTTAACTATTAACGAATAAACATTTGGTGAGACCGAATAGACCCTCGACTTCAACCAAATCCATTTGTTAACAATAACTAATTCGTTCTGTCAGTGAATCTTCCGATTCTTCAATGTTAAAAGAATTTCGACTTACATTGATTAAGGTTTAAATATACTAATCGAAATTTGAAAATAGTAAAGTAATTGATAATCCAAATTTTCAATTGATGATGAATTAAATATTTAATCATATGAAACTGTAAATTTTCTATTAAGTAAATAATACTAAATTTTGTATAAGGGATTTTCGATTATCCAAATGATCGTCAATCTTTCCAACTAAATTACTGATTAATAAATAATTTGGAATTTGAATATTCAAATTGATGATTACTTAAATAATTAAAATTTAAGAGTGATATTAATGAATGGTCTA